AAGATGATTCTCTAAATGAATGAATAATTTCACTTTATATTTTGTAAAGCATTCTGTAAAATTTCATTCAGAAATCATACTCAGTATACTTGGCCACACAATCTGCTTCTGGTTTTGGTTCAGGAAGCCTGGCTACCTATGTATGTTATATTCTGTTTGGCCTCCAAATGCCCTTAATACCCTCCTCCAGCCCCCTGCGTGCCGCCGGGGGCTGAGCCTTTGGGCTGCATCTCCCTCAACACCTTTCTAGTGATGTCCATTGGGTCTGGTCAACGGGAGCCATTGGCAGGAGCTCAGACTGTATCAGAGGGAAGGAGAAGCCAGAATGGAGTATTTCTTCCCCGTCTCTCCCTGTTTTGTGTCTCTGGCCAGGGCTCTATCGCTCCCTGACCACAGCCCCCAGGGGACAGTGGCTCCCCTACGCATCTGGGTCTCACTGAGCTCCAGTCACACTGTCCATTCAGGCCTAGAGCTGGTAACAGCTTCCTGCCATTGCTAGTCTCTGCAAACCTCACCCTCACAGGTATTCCTTTATTTAAGTCCCATCATGTGAAACAGGTGACAGTGGATTCTGTTTCCTGCCTACACCCTGACTGAACCATCAGCTTAAACTTAGCAGGTGCGACTGCTGCTCCCCTAGGTCCGTGGGGCTTCCTCTTTGCTGTGCATCAGAACCATCTGGGGAACTTTAGAGCGGACTGCTGCAGGTTTCATCCCTAGATTTTCCGATGCAGTTGGTCCAGGGAGCAGTCTGGGCATCAGGAGTTTAAAAATCTCTCTAGGCGCTTCTATTGTGCAGCTGAAGTTGAGAAGCATTCCTCTGGCTGGTACACCTCCCGTACAGACGGGAGATTTTTAGCACATGATGAAAACTCGACTACATAGTCCCCATTGTGATGTTTCCCTTTTTATTATTTTTTAACAAATTATTGCAGTCTTCAGTTTAAAGTGATGTTACTCTTCTACTCTTCCATTCCTGAAAGCATTTTTTAAACAAAATAGAACAAGTTTAAACCTATTTATAGAACCATTTTTTTCAAGAGGTTAAAAACAAAGAGCAGATGTTTCTGGAAAGCCTGGAAACCTGCTAGATGTGCTTTTCTTTGATTGGATGTGTGTGTGGTGGGATGGAGGGGGTGAGTTTTGCAGGAGGTTAGAAGGAGAATCAAAAGAGCTATCAGGGGATACTGCAAGGGGAAAAATTTCAGAATCATTATCTGTGTTGAAATGCTGCTCTCTTTGAAATATAATAATGAAGGTACGCGTGCTACATAATTAACGCACATCAACGGCACTGACTGATCCGGTCTTGACAATCTGCTCTGAAAAAGGAACCGCATTAAAGCACTCATTCACAATCTTTGGCATATTAAAATAAGTAGTGGCCACTGGCCTCCTGAGAACCTTTGAAGTGTTCAATGTTTAAAATGCCTTCACCATTTGGCAGGTTTTAAAATACAAAAGAGCCACAGCCACACTCTCCTGTCTTAAAAGACGATCACTGTTTAAACAGTACACATTTGTCAGTGATGACCAGGCTTAATATTTTTCAGAGGGAAAACGGATTCTACCAAGCCCTTCACTTCATCCTGAGGGTTCTAGAGAAATCTCATCTAAATAAACACCGTGCCCTGGATCACTTAGCTACCACTACAGTAATCTCAGCAAAAAGCACTATTTCTCACGCACAGCCTGTGGGTCACGTGGTGGGTCAGCTGGGGTGCCTGTACAAGCCCATTTGGGCTGCTATATTGAAACACCATAAACGAAGTAGTTTATAAGCAACAGTGTTTATTTCTCATAAATAAATTTCTGGAGGCTGGAATTCCAAGATCATGGCACCAACAGATTTGGTGGTGGGTGGGAACCTTCCGGTTCAGCCAGCCATTTTTTCCCCTGTGCTCTCACATGGCAGAAGGGAGCTCCGTGGGGTTTCTCTTATAAGGGCACTGATCTCATCCATGACTGCTCTGCCTCATGACATGATCACCTCCAAAGGACCCACCTCCTAATACCAGCCTCTCACATCCTGCTGGCACCAGTGGGCAGCCCAGACTCATGTCTGCTAATATCCCATTGGCTAAAACAAGTCACATGACTAAGCTCACAGCCCAAGTCTGGGGAAATATGGTCCAGCTGCAGTAGGAGGGACTGCAGAGTCACACAGCCGAGAGTATGGAGATGGGGAGAGGTGAAGAATAGGGACAATAATTCAGTTTACCTTGGTGCCTAAAGAAAAAGTCTGCCAAGTAGTGCACCCCAATACTGTGTTTATAATAGTATTTCTGGCTCTGGAGTGGCAGTCACTTACCTGTTCTACAAGTCTGTTCGTAGGATGGCTTTCTGTTTCCAGTCAGGTGGATGGTAGCACTCATCCATAGGTTGTCTGCTGCAAGGCAATGGAGCTGATGCTGGCTTTTTTTTAATTGAAGCATAGTTGATTTACAATGTTGTGTTAGTTTCTGATGTACAGCCCAGTGATTCAGTTATATATATATATATATATTCCTTTTCAGATTCTTTTTCATTATAGATTATTACAAGATATTGAATATAGTTCCCTGTGCTATACAGTAGGACCTTGTTTTTTATCTATTTTATATACAGTAATGTGTATCTGCAAATCCCAAATTCCCAATTTATCTCCTCCACCCTCTTCCCCTCTTGGTAACCTTAAGTTTGTTTCCTATGTCTATAAGTCTGTCTCTGTTTTATAAATAAGTTCATTTGTCTTCTTTTTTTAGATTCCATGTATAAGTGATATCATATGGTATTCTTCTTTCTCTTTCTGGCTTACTTCACTTAGTATGACAATCTCCAGGTCCAATCATGTTGCTGCAAATGTCATTATTTTATTCTTTTTTATGGCTGAGTAGTATTCCAGTGTGTGTGTGTGTGTGTGTGTGTGTGTGTGTGTGTGTGTGTGTGTGGCAACTTCTTTATCCCATCATCTGTTGATGGACATTAATGTTGCTTCCATGTCCTGGCTATTGTAAATAGTGCTGCTATGAACATTGGGGTACATGTAACTTTTCGAATATGCCCAGGAGTGGGATTGCTGGATCATATAGTAAGTTTATTTTTAGTTTTTTAAGAAATACCCATAATGGCTGTACCCAACTACACTCCCACCAGATGTTGGATTTTTTGGGCTGTCCTGCCCTTAGAATACCAAAACTGTCTCCAAAGAAGAAATGAAAGGTATGGGGGAGGGTCAACCAGGTGAAGCAAGGGGCTACTTTAGGGTGCTGAAACAGTTTTCCCAAGCCTGGAAAGCTATTGCCCCATCTCTTCACGTGGCTGGCTCTTTCTGCTCTTAACCGGCCAGCTTAAACGAGGCCTCCCCACAGGAGCCCCCCAGTCACCGCACTGCTTACATGTGCGTGACACTTACATTTTGTAATTTTACTGTTCACTTTTGCTTGTTTGTGATGTGTCCCTTCCTCTAGAATGTAAGCTCCATGCATGTCTTTTCACTACTAGTGAATTCCCATTACCTACCACACTGCCTGACACATAGTAGGTGTTCAATAAATATTTATGGAATGAAAGGCTACTCATTTTTTAGTATTTGGGTCAAGATCCTGTTGGAATATGGACCATGCCCTGGAGAGTGTTATGACGACAGGAAGCCCCACAGCAAACACACTAAACTAAGGAGGAATTCATATGAAATTGCTGGTTGGCTACAGCTACAGTCCCCAATACTCCAAGAAAAACTAAGGAAAAAAAAAACCCAGCATGAATGGCAACATGAGTACCAATTAAAATATAATTCAAGGTCAAAATCATTAACAGGGTCAAAGAAGAGTAACAGGGAATGGGAAAAAGTTACTCCATGAAGAAGCTCTGTGTAAGTCATAAGCATTGATAAACAGCACAGCAGCCGAATCTATACAGCAAAAGTGCCAGAGATACGAGGAGACACTCATGAAAACACTTTTCTTGTGGAATGGTTTTAATATTACGGTCTCAGACCTTGACAGCTCAAATATACAACAAAGGCAAAGATACAAGGGGCTTGAAAAGCATAATAAACCGTACTTTGTTTCTTCTGACAGTCATGTAATACACAAAGTAATCTCATACTTGGCATAAAACACACTGCTAATTTTCTCAAAGCAGAGATCTGTTTTTTACCTTTCAAATAGGAAATCGACACTAAAAAAATTTTTTTTAATCCTCGAATTATTGAAAAATTAAGAAATCTCTTCCACATAATTCTTGGTTCAAAGAGGAAATCAAAACTGAAACCATAGGGAGGAGGGTATAGCTCAGTGGTAGAGCACTTGCTTAGCATGCACCAGGTCCTAGGTTCAATCCCCAGTGCCTCCATATAAATAAAATAAATAAACCTACTTACCTTTCCCCCAGAAACCATAAACTGAGTGTTCAAAAGAGAATAGGAAAAAAAAATTATATTAAAATCGCAGCCTTAAATGATCTTATTGTTTAAAAATAAAACAGAACACATTTACACGAAATTATATTTAGAACAATTTGGATCTTATTTTTCCTTGATTATTGAGAAAATAACCCAGTTATTTTCAGATTTTCTTCATTTGAACTAATTTCCTTTTTCATTCCATCACTTTGTTGACGTCACAGTGAGAGCGAATAAAGCGATCAAGAATCTGTCGGTCTGGAAATTATGAAGAAAAACAGGATGAAAATTTCCATATAACTATTTAACTGCTAAAGAGAGAAATCCTAGGAAGCAGGCAAATATCTGATAATAGTACTGTATATATGAATTTGATGAGACCAAAATAATCAAAGGATAGTGTGTCTAATAGCTAAAGGCACAATTGTGTAATTATTGATTAAAAAGAATAATATTCAAGGGTTCAGCAAAGCTTGCTGGAAGGAGCATGGATTTTGGAATGAAACAAACTTGCTTTCGGTTCTGTGCTGACAAGTGTAAGTGACTCACCTGCCACCTCCATTTATTCATTTCGTCTTTGAATACAGGTGAAGGTACTCACCTAGCATAGTTGCTGGGATGGACAAGGAAGGCTACGTGTGACGCAACTAGACAGTGCATGGTCCCTGAAAGACACTCAGGAAATGGTACAGCCTTACCCTCTTACGACTGGGTGATGCCAGGAGACACAAAACAATAGGGTTTTCATCGAAGCCAGGGTTGCTTATCTGCCCACCAATGTTAGCAGGCTTTGAGATCTTTGAGTGATAACTGACGATAGGAAGGCCTTCAACTCCCTGGCCTCCCTTTTCTCATCTGGAAATTGATGAATCTTGTCTGATTCTCAGTATCTATGGTTCTCTGATCCTAATTACGTATTTTTAAATTGTATACTGTAAAACTTTGTCACTCCTAGCAATTGTCATCTGTGCAGCCAAAACTAAGAGAAAGGAAGATTATGAGTGATAGATAGCATGTTGTCATGGTCAACGTCCTTGGTACCATGCTCAGGGTCATGAGTGCCAGCTGAGGGCTAGACATCAGGGGTGTGTGTGTGTGTGTGTGTGTGTGTGTGTGTTCCTGGTTTACTCTCCAGTTACGTTTGCATTTATTTGTTTCTGTGATCTCACATTTAATTTTCAGCCATGCCCACACCTCTCCATACCTTTCCTGACCCCAGACTTTTCATGAAGTGAAATGCACTGATCTTGCCTGTTCAGGCTGATGGGTTGACACCTGCATATGTGTATCCCACACCCACATAATGATATAGATCATTTCCACCACCCCAGAAAGACTTGTCATGCTCCTGCTCCAAGACAGCCTCAGTTCTGATTTCCTTCATTATAAGTAAGTTTTGCCTGTTGTAGACTTTGGAATAAATGAAATTATACGAAATGTATTGTGTCCAGCTTCTTTCACTTAGCATAATCTTATTGAGGTTTATACATTTTGTTGAATACATCAGTAATTCACTCTTTTTTATTGTCTGATAGTATTTCATTTTGTGAATATACCAGTTTATTTATCCATTATCCTGCTGATGGAGATCTGGGTTGTATCCAGTTTGAGACTATTAAGAATGAAGTGATTATAGAAGTTCTTGTAGAAGTCCTTCTGTGGACGTATGTTTTCTTTTCTCTTGCATAAATACCCAGAAAGGGATTTGGGGTCATGAAGTCAGAATATGTTTGACTTTATCAGAAACTGTCAGATCTGTTTCCAAAGTGCCTGCGCTGTTTGGTACTCTTACCAGAGACGTATTGCTTCAGATTGTCAGTGTTTGCTATTTTCAATCCTCTTCATTTGAGTTCTAAAATGCCTTTATTTTAAATCTCATACCGGAGTTCATTTTAAATGAGCAAAAATTTTTTTTTCTGATACCAAAGATAAGCGTGAAAGATGAACCAGGTTTGGCATGAATTTATAAAAAAGATGTGATTGTGTCAAATTAAATAACTGTTCAAAAAGGCTACCAGTTGTAATTCAGATGCCACCCGTATTCATCACGTTACAGAGGCAGACTCACGCCCCTGTGGTTTTGTTGATGCTGTTCTCCCTGCTTAGGAAGGGCCCTGCTTCTCCTGCCCCTTCATTCTTGACACTTAAAGGAAGCCTCTTCTGAGCAGCCTTCCCTGATCCCTGGTCGACCCACAAGGTCGGGAGTACCCCCTCTGCAGGCTTCTGATATACCCAGAGACGGCTTCGATTACGAGCTTATGACGTTATAACTACGTCTGTCTCCCACACCCAACAGTGAGTTCCCTGACAAGAAGCATTTTTTATTTATCTTTGTATTAAGTGCGTATGATAGGTTTTCCAACAATGAAGTTTATTGAGTGACTAAATAAAAGTCTTCTTAATAATACTGAAAGTCACACCAAGGAAGAAATACCCTCTGGGTAGCCATATTCATGGGAGTTTTAACTGGAGGAAGAGATGGGGAGGGAGTAAGAGCTGAGAATTTCTGAAAATCAGATTTCAGATAATTTTGCCTTTCAAGGGGCGACAGGCTGGGAGATGGCAGTCTTCACTGATGGACAACGGAGCCCAGAGGGTGAGCTGTTGAGCGGTGTGAATCACTGAGAAGAAAGCTGTTTTTAAAGCAGAATGGCCTCTGAAGACACGGAGTTCAGTTTCCTCGAGTGATAAATACGAAAACTAGCCATACAGAGTTATTGGAAACAAAATGTTTACCCTCAGGTACTCCTCCTTCCTTCTTCCCCAGCTTTATTTGTGTCTTCCTGGGCTTCCTCTACGCCCACCCTCACCCCACTACCCTGCCAACTCCCAGCCCCCATCTTAGGCCACTGTGCTGAAACTTTCCCTCTCTTCCAAAATGCACCTGTTCTGGGCTCCTATACTGTCCAAGAGGAATAACCCAGTAAAATGAGTTAAGTTGAGGTGATAATAATTCAGCCGCTTGTATCTGCCAGGCTGTTTATTCTCTTGCATCCTCACTCAGCCCTCCGCTGAAAAGCATTAGCCTCCATTCTGGACACTGGAAAATGACAAGGGGTTTCGGGCACAAGTCAAGACCTCATCTTACCTTTGTAGGAAACACTCTGAAGGTACTCTGTGACTTGAGAGGGAGTAAATGAGTTTAGAATTGTTAAGAAATCCAGGTAGGCTTTCCCGTAATCACTTTGGTACGTGGTCTGCTTCTTCATGCGCTCCTGATTCTTCAAGTGGCTGTACAGCACAGAAGGGACTAGAAGGATGCAAAGGAAGGAAAGAAAAGGAGGCTGTCATTGAGCAGAGAATTTGTGCCTTTGTTTGTGGGATGCACCCGAGAGCCCTGAACCCAACTTGGGACTTAATCAGCATCCTTAATGGTACTGGAAAGGGTGGAGCTATATGAATGACACCTCCCATGACCAGGGCTGTGCAGAGCTGCTGGGATTCAGGACTGTTTCTGGTGGGAGTGGGAGTGATTAGAGATGATGGCCAGAAGGTTGATTTTGACCACTGTTTTCAGAAAAGAAGTTGTCCCTGAAATTGACTCTGCTGCAGGTCAGCATGTTAGGATGGTAGCATTCACCCCCTGCTGAATAAACAGAAGCTTCCTTCCCTTTCATGCCATCTCCTGTGCAGATGTGGACTGACAGACAGACAGGCCTCCTTCAGGGATCTAGGGTTCTCAGGATGGACAGTTTGGAAGGATGTTAATATTCACCGTTAGCGTTCACTGCACATCTGTACCAATGGAGGGACGAGGTGCAAGCAAAACCAAGCCAATACATACTTGGTCCTGAATATTGTTCATTTCAGGTGGGTTCTGATAGTCATGGAGTCATCATGAGAAACAATGAACACCTAACGTGAGTATCTAATTTCTGCAACCTGACCAACCTCTGTCAACTTCAGGGACGTCTTAAGGACTGCTTTCAGGTCCAGGCGTCCCCTTTAGAGGGACCGTTAACCAGTAGGAGGGACCAGGCACTGGTGGGGACTTGACGCTATATCCTGAAAAGAGTGTTCATAGGGTCTGGAAATGATTTAAGTGGAGAATATGGAGGGCATATAGTCAGGTTTTCACAGGATAATAAATTCATAATAGTAAACCTCTGTGGGAAGAAGCAGAACCAATGGCCAGAAGTTTAGCAAGGAAAATTCCAGCTGTTGAGAACTTTCAAACAGTTGGCGAATCCAAGCACGAAGGAGCTACCTTGGAGAGTGGGGCAACCCCCGTGAAGAGTTTGAACAGGTACAGTATCACCCTTGGGCAAGGATGGGGGAGAAGGGGCTCACACATTACTCCTAGGCTGCCTTCTAACCCCAGGATGCTCAGCTTCTATTCTGTGGTTTTGTCTCTTTAAAGCACTACTTGATCTCAGCTCCATGCCAGGAGTGAATCACTGTCTCAAGACCGACATCAAATTATCCTCTTAACCAGGAACTTGGAGGTGGCTTGGTCATGGAACTTTTAAAACCTTTTCTGTTGAAAACAATAGGAATGAGGATCATAAAAGAGCACCTAAGTAGAATGGTTGCTAAATCCCAAGATGCCTGAAGGATGCGCCATGTGGATAAACTTCCAGTGAATAACTGACAAGTCTAATTGGATTCCCATCTAACCTTTTCCCTCATCATCTTATAGCCGATAAATCCACCCTTTTATTTTATGAGGGGAACGTGTCCCCCAGTCCCAGTGACTGTCCCTTCCAGGCAGAAGATGTACTCATTTCACGGCATAAGCAGTCAGTTCTCTTCTGAGACTTATTCAGCCCCTGGGTTTGAGGCTTGGTGCCACAGTCACAGTTTTAATTCCATGCAGGGATCACTGGCATTCTCCATGATAGTCTACGAATTTGTTTTAAAAGCTACAAGTGTTGTAAATCAACTATACTTCAATTGAAAAAAAAAAAAAGCCATGAGTGTGCTTACCTAGACCTTGAGAAGCAATGGGTAGGCTTGAGTGGCATCCGTATTTGAAACTAAAATCCTGAAACTCAGGAATTTTAGCTGGAATTGGGTAATTCCGTCGAAATTCAGTGTCTGCTGGTTGGGGAAGTAACTTTTTCCTTTCTAGAAACGTCTGAGAATGCTGCTTAATCTTCTGAGCTGGGGTGGGGGTACAAACAGAAGGCAGTAATTACTCCTTGTATGCTATTTCCAAATAGCATCGTATTTTCATTCTGCTTTGCTTCTGGCAGTAGCTTCCAATTCATCACCCTGAAACCCACTCTTCTTACATTTGGAGGTATGGTCAATGTACTTTTTATGGATATTTCAACCAAGAAATAATTTTCTGCTTTATCAGGCACAGGAAGTATACGCTTACATGATTAAAAGCAGTTTCTAATGCAGACATTGCACATCAGTTAGGAGTGCTCTTTTGCTGCTGGAAGCATGCCTCCCTCCAGTGGTCTTGCCTAGCCCCTGGGCCAGCGGTTGGGGAGCAGAGGGAGAGATTTTAGATAGGCTACGGTTGCCATATAAAAATAGGATGCTAGTGAAATTTGAATTTCAGATAAGCAGTGAATAATTTTTTAGCGTAAGCATGGATGAGCACTTATTTTTTACCTACTATATATCATTATTCAAATTTAACTGGATGTCTTGTATTTGTACTTGCTAAATCTGGCAACCTGAGAAGGGGCAGAGGAAAAGAGCCTTGCCGATGGAGGGTTAGGTAACAGCATTGTCATTAGCAGATGAGGCACTATTATTTTTTGAAATAACTGTGCTAATAAATAGTCATTAAATATATGATCGTTAAATACCTCTGAAGCACTGACTAAACACCAGTTTGCGCGAACGCTACCAGATTGGCCAAGGAGAGAGTCGTAGAATGAGTTCACCCTGAACTCTTGCTGCAAAATGTTGGTTCAGACACACATCACACAACACCAACTTTAATCACAACACCAACTTTAATGAGTATCATGAGCAGTGTCACTACAGTGCTAATTACTGGTGACACTAACTCAATTCTTTTTCCAAATTAGTTTTTCAACAGGTCTTTCCAGAATAAACTCAAATGCACATTGTATATCAAACAATATGTGATGTCATCTACTGGCACCCAAGAGCATTTTAATATTGATTTTTAAAAAATGACCTCTGTCTAGATCAGCACAGTGGGAAAGAGTTTCACTACATGCCGCCTCTTAATTTAGATGAGTCAGGAACACAGGACGTGGCTACCGAATGGCCCTTCATAACGGCCTCATAAACCGCCTGAGGAGAGGACAAGGTTACAGGGAGGAGAAAACTTGAGGGCTGAAAAGTCAGGACATTCCGTAAGATATTTTGGAAAGTCATCTGTATTGTTTCCGGGAAGCACCACCTATAACTTGGTTTTTGTAAATTACTCATAGCTTTATTCATAAACCAGTTCCGGCTGAAATGCTTAATACCTATCTGTCTCCCCCAGCTACCACTCAAAAGAAAACGTTTTCAGTTCCTATATGTGTTCTGTGCCAAGGTTAAAGGTAATTAAGTCATCGTTCACCTCAAACTGGTATGATTAGGGAGCTACCTACAGGACACACAGATATGGGATGTCATATCTTGCAGCCATAACACTTGGAACTGTGGTTCTCACCTGGAGATGATACATCACAATCACCTAGGAAGGGTTTTCCAAAATACACCCACTGAACCTCATCTCAGACATTGAGAATTTCTAGAAGTGGGACCCAGGCACTTATATTGTGAACAAGCTTCCAGTTTGCTTAAGAATCACTGACTCTAAGCTTTGGACAAGGTGCTGCAGAAGCCCAGAGACAGTGTGATGGGCTCTGTTGGTGGAAGTGGAGGAAGACGAGCGTCAAAAGGCAGACGCAGTGGAAGGCATGTTTAGACGATGGGTCGACACGGAAGCAAAGATGCACAGTGTGCTCGCCAAATGTGGTCTAGCCGGTGGGAGTGTGAGGCGCCCAGGGCAGGGAGGAGTAGCTGAGGGTGAAGCAGGAACCAGGTTGTAAAGGGTCTTGAGATGCTGGTCCAAGCGGGCAAGATGGACCAGCAGAAAAGACAAAAATCAGGCTTTAGAGTTACCGTGAGCTCCTCTGAAGATAAAGATTAAGTCTTATTCTTCATTGACCCTCAGTACTTATTACAGTAATAGTCCTCATTAAATATTTACTAAATAAATGAGTGAACAAAAGAGAAAAAATGGAAATGTAATTGCCATGAGTTAGCCATTAATCTGAATCACACTCTAGTGACCGCTTATGTGATATATGCTTAAGGTAACTCTAAGTTCTTAGTCCTTCTCAACTAATGGCTTTATTATCTTTGTAAAACCTAGTGTTAATGCATTCCTTCAGGACTATTAAGAGGAGAAGTTCCTGAAGCAAAAGCACCTGACCAGCACCCGAAGTCCATGTAGGGGTGTTGAAGTCTGGACAGAGAAGATAACCTGATCCAATGACGTCCATGCCCCTGAGGCCTGGACTCCTCCCGGGGACCAGCCCTGCCCCTCAGGAGATCAGCACCCACTGGTTTCTTTCCGCTTGATAAAGGTGATACTGAGTAGTTCTAACCAAAAGGGAATAACTGGCCCTTTAAGATTAGGCAGGACATCTGCAGAAAGGCCCCTTCCAAAAGTAAATCCACAGCAAGGACTGTTCAGAACCACTAGGACCATGGACACATAATCTGTAGCCAAGTGAGAGCTTCGTTCCGCTGTTTTTCTCTGCTCTTCTAATTCATCAAAGCCAAGTTCTTCAAGTCTGAATGTGGAAACAAGCACCTTAAGTGCGCTTCACCCATTCGCCTTAATTCAGTAATGAGGATACAAAGACAAGACATGCTTCCTGTGCTTCAGAAGCTTAAGGTATTAGAGAAACAGATACAAAAGAAGATAATCACTATATTATTTGATAAATGCTGCAGAAGAGGTAAGAATGGGGTCTATAAAACCATGGCAAGGCCACCAATTCAAACCTGGGGGATCAGAGAAGGGAAATAAAGCTAACATTTAAACTTAGATTATGGACAAGTGTCAACTAAAAGGAGGAAGGGAGAGGTCTTCATGGGGAGGAGGCAACGTGTGCAAAGGGCACGAAGCTGCAGGGGTGTCGTGAACCCAAAAGGCAAAAGGCAGTTGGTTTCAAAAACAGTATGGGGACAGACAGGGGCCAGATTATATAGGGCTCACCTTAAGGCATTTGGCTTTTATCCTGAGGATGATGAGGGGCCGGGGGTGGAGGGCTCACTGAAGGATTTTAAGCTGGATGATGACATCAATTTGCATATCTGGAAATTCACAATGGCGCTAGGGTGGACAGTGGACTAGAGGAGACAAAGCTGGAGAATGGAGCGGCTGAGAAGTCATCCAAGGAGAGACGATGGTAGCCTGATCTAAGGCAGTGGCCGTAGGGAGGGAGAGAAGCAGCTGGAGGTGAGAGATTTAGGAGGGAGTCCTGACAGTCTTGGGTATTTATCCGCACATGGGGAAATGGTGATTTGTGCATGCTGAAAAGGATGACTTTGATTGGAAATTCAGAGACATCTTTTAAGAATGCTGACATTTCACATGCTTTTCCATGACCCTCAGTGTTCATCTGCAAGTATGAAGGTCTTTTAACTCCAGATCCATCTAGCTTCAAAACATGTACCTCCATACATTCTCTCCATCATTCAGCATAATTTACAGATCACCTTCTATACACCAGACTGGACTACATACTGCACTAGCTTCTGAGTGAATAAAGGTCTTTGGGGTGCTTACTGAATAGTGGAGGAAAGAGTAAAACAAAAACAATAGAGGAGGGAGGACATAGCTCAGTGGTAGAGTGTGTGCTTAGCATGTATGAGGTCCTGGGTTCAATCCCCAGTACCTCCAGTGAAATAAGTAAGTAAGTAAGTAAGTAAACAAACAAAAAACAAACAAACCTAATTACCTCCCCTGCCAAAAATATTTTTTAATTAAAAAAGAACTGCAGGAAACAATTCCCATATTTGAAGGCATGAGTTTCTAGATTGAAAGGACCTCTGACTGTCTAATATAATGAACGCAAAAGATTCTCACTAATGTGTACAATTGTGAAATCTCACAATGTCAGGAATAAAGAGAGGATGCTAAGAGGTTCCAGTGGGAAAAATACAAAAGAATCAGGAATCAAAATGGCATCAGTGTTCTCCACACAAATCCTGGATTTCTAGAGTCATTTGGAGGGATGCATTGAGGGGAAATGATTATCATCCTAGAATTCTACATCCAGCCAAACTAGCAAACATGTGTAAGGAAGAAAAAAAGCTATTTCCAGATTGGGAAGAACACAAGTCAAAAAAGTCACTCCCATTCATCCTTTCTTAAGAAGCAACTGGAAGATGCGCTTCAGCAAAATGAGGGAGAAGGAGTAAGAAAGAGAAAGATGTGGATTCAAGAGGAAACCAGATCTATGTGGGCAGAGGCCAAAGAAATGCCCAGAATGATGAAATAAGAAGTCCCAGGGCCCAGCTGGGCAGCAAACCTACAGAGCAACCAGTCTAGATAGGAGGGGAATGTTGGAGGGTGTCAGAAAGATCATCTCCAGGAAAATACTCAAACTGATAAAATGTTTGAAATCATGTATGGAGAAAATCTTGATAAATGTGTAACAAAGTATTTGGAAAAAATAGTGACAGGCACATAGAAAACTAAGCATATTTTAAAAAGTCAATTATTAACTGATAAAAAACAAAATTAAAAAGGAAAACTAAAAGGAAACAATCATAAAATATCATTTGGTTCAGTGGTATATATTTACATAATCATAATATATCACATCATTGTAATCATAATATAAACACTAGCAATTTGAATTAACCCAAAATTTGTAATATTATTATATTGAGAGGATGGATGGAGGGGGAGTGAGAAAGAATTATAGGAGGGCCAAATCCTCAGTTACCGTAACAGGAAGTCAACAATAATGTCTAGAATTGATGAATCAAAAATAGCAATATAAGCATATGATTTTAAATATGGAGGCTCACATAAGAAGAAATAGTTGAAAGAATGGAAATTGCCAATGGGAGTAAAACCGGGAGAGGAGAGGGATTGGTCACGGAACTGCTACTTCCTTGTGAGGTTTTAGAATGTATCAGTTTAATAAAAGTAATTTTAATTTAAGTAATTTAAAAATAGTAAACAGCAGTTAAGAATTGAAAGCAGCATTTTTAACTCAATCTTGTCCTCTTCTCCTGGCTCATTCATCCTTGTCCTTTGGACAACAAACCTTTTCTGATCTTCCTCCCCACCTTAGGCTGGATGTCCTACTGTGTACCCACAGCACCCTGCATTTCCCACAACGTGCACCTTTTTCTGTTCAACTGTTGTTCACTAAATTGCCCTTTTCCATGTCTATACTGTGAGTTCCTTAAAAGAAGAGACTACATCTGTGTTGCTAACCACTGTGACTCCAGTGCCTAACACATTACCAGGGAAAGGGAAAAAACGAACATTTACCTTCTGTTCTGTCCACAAAGTCTCTCCTTGTATGGGAAATAAACTGATTTAGTATTGCTTTCCTAACTTCGTCCATTGAAGCAGCAATTTTCCAAGGGAAGTAGCTCTTTACTGATGCTGTTGATTGACCTTGAGGTAGTGTCCAGAGAAAGAAGTCCTATCAATATAAACAAAACTTTCAAGAAAATCCACATAAGTTCACCTAATGGACATATCCTCAACCAACATGTCTTCAGCTGTGCTCACATTTCCCCCTAAGCCCTTCCCACCAAACCCAGTCCCCCTGCAAGTGCCAGCTCAGTGAACAGCATCAGTTCAGACCCAGCCATCTAAGTAAAAAACAAAACAAGAACATCATCCTTCATTCATTCCTCTTCCTTTTTACATCCTTTCAGTCATCAAATCCTGACCATTCTGCTGCCTTATTATCTATTGAATGTGTCAAGGTGATTCCATTCCAGGTGGCACCATTCCAAGTGGCAGCCAAATAAATGCAACCCTTTACTACGATTGAGCATTGCCAGTTAGTTACTTCCACCTAGAGGAGAAGGGAATTAGATATGACTCTCTCTAAGCTGAGCCTTGAAGAATCTATGAGTTTCTTTGGCGGACAAGAGAAGAGGATCTGGATAGTCAACAAAATGATGAAAGGTCTGGTGGTTTGAGAACGCTTGATACCAAATACTTGCTCGTGCCTGTTCACAGTAGCTTTGTTCATAAAAGTCAAAAGATGGAAATAACCCAAATGTCCATCAATAGATAAATGGATAAACAAATGGTGGTATGTACATGCAATAGAATATTATCCAGCCATGAAAAGGAATGAAGTACTAACAGATGCTACAATGTGAATGAACCTTGAGAACATTATGCTGAGTGAAAGAAGCCACACACAAAAGGTCACATATTGCATGATTCCACATATAAAGCATCCAGACTATGTCATCCATAGAAACAGAAAGCAGACTGGAAGCTGCGAGAGACTAGAGGAGGGAACCCTGGTTCCCTCTTGGGGTGATGAAAATATTTTGGAGTGAGCTAGAAGTGGTGGGTGCAGGACATAATGAATATACTAATTGCCAGTGATTTGTTCACATTAAAATGATTCATTTTATGCTATGTGAATTTTACTTCAATTAAAATTTTTTTCTTATTTAGGGGGATAAGGGAGATGTAGTTAGAAATAACTGTGAGAAGGTGGGCAAAAATAGTCAAAGAAGGACCATAGCTATAGGTGATGTAGGATCTTTGGGATATAGTCACACTCTCGTTCTTATGGGTTATTGATACAATATTAAATTCAAAAGACATGTAGATATAAGCTCACTTTACTGAGGTGAGATTTGTGGCTCCTGGTTCCTCTTGAAGTCCTAGTGTTGATAAAATCCTCTTTAGAATATGGTTTCCAAACATACTCATCATTGTACTGTGTCTGGTTGTGAATAGGATCCCTAAGTGAATATGCATATCCGAATCTTCTGGTGCCTTTTTGACTATAAGGAAAGAGTGGAAATTAGAGTAAGTGATCAAATATCAAATCTCACCACAGTATACTTGTCAAATAGTTTTTAAAAGCTTGGTTGACTTAAGACTTGATGCCAGAAACCATTTAATTTCCAGATCTCCCTGAAGAGAAGCAATCCTGTATCTTAGGATGCTCCTAACAAAAAGTATGGGAATTCTAATATGAAATTTAAAAGAATAATCTGAAATTTATTAACTTTTAAATTAATTTTTTAAAAAGCTGAGTACTCTTCCTTAAAAACAGTACTTCAGTGTAACCAAATACTCGGTGAAGAAAAGTTAATCTCTACAGAAGTATTCCAGTTAATAAAAGGAAGAAATATAAGAACTAGGATACCACTGGCTTGCAAGTCCCCAGTGAAATAATGCGACTAGGCCATGATCAGCCACTGCCACTCACATTTCCAAAAGAGGGACCAGCAGAGAGTGTATGCTCTGGACACACATACACAACACCACCTATTAAATATTTTTGCCAAAACACCCAACCTGAATCAGATGAAGTCTTTGGAATACCACATTACAGGAAATACATGAAAAGGATATTTTAAAATGACATGAGAAGGATGAAGTTAGAAAGATCTGGAACAATGATCTGTTTCTTCAACAAAGAAATTCTTGGGCAGGGGGAAGCAGAGGAACCTGCAGATTAAATGAAGTAAGAGAATGAAATGCATAGACCATGTTTGGATTTAATTTCCAAACAACTGTTGCTTTTTTTTTAATTATGAGGCAACTAGAGAAAATTTTATTGCTGATTGGCTATTGGCTATTAAGGAATTGCTTTTTTAGGTGAGATAATGGTGTTGTTACTTTTTTTTTTTAAAGAATCCTTAGCTCTCAGATATACATAAAAACATATTTAGAATCGACAGGATGTAATGTCCGGAGTTTGCTTCAACATTATCCAGGGGAAAGGCTGGATGGAGAATGTACATAAAAAATGTCCACATGTTGTTGATTATTGCAGCTGGATGATTGCTGGGGATTTATTGTATACTCCTTTGTGTACATCTAAAATATTTCATACTGACTTTTTTTCTGCAAAGAGGGCTGGGTTAGATTCAGGTTACGTCTGTAAGAAACAAAACATCTGGAAAGTGGGATACATCTGGATGCCGGACTGTCTCACGTGTCACTGAGACATGCAGATTCAAGTAGGACTGTGGTCCTAAATCAAACTGAAGTCATCCAAGGTAGATGAAGATTTTCCAAAGAGAACACAGCACAATTAGCTTTAAAGGGATCGATGTTCACATCTCCATTTCTCAGTATACACTTTCCTAACATGGATCTACCAGAGAACAAAGCTGCATCTCTATGCGGGTCTTTTCTTTCCCTCACGGCTTTCTCCCTTCCCAACTTGACTAAAGATCTCACTAAGGTGCGTTTTACCCCTGGGTGTAAGCCTCCAACTGTGAGAGGGGTGCCTGGCAAAGGGAAACTTTGTTATAGTGATTTCAGGGAACCCCCTTGTAATCCAAATTCCATACACCTGCCTAGGGCTTGCTGTTCTAGGTCAAGAGTGAAAGGTGGGCTATGAGCAGAGCATTACAACCAGTGCGGGGATGTTCTGAATGTAGGTCTGCTGTAGACTGGCGTGGCTAAGAATAACGTCTCATTTTCCCTGTCCTAACAATTATAAAATGTTCATCCCTCTTTAAAGAGAAGCTTAAAAAGCAGAGCAGAGAATATAGAACATAGAACACTTAAAATGGTTCTTTGCCCCACATATTTAAAAGTAAGCATTTTTTCCAGCTTTTTGAAAATCCCTAGGATATGTCATTAGCTGGAAAGAAGGGCACCTCTGAGGAGACGAAGCAGTACAGGGTGGCAATGCTGATTCTTTTCCATGTAACTGGAATCTTTTCTAAGACGATCAAATTTTTAAAGATTCACTGCATAAAACTGGTACATAAAAATCTTGTGATCTTTATTTTTTTCAGATTTTGTATTCATCATTCAATAAGGTGTTTAAATCTAATGTTTTAACCCAAACACATTATGAAATATTTACTCCCATATAGCCAGTCCTTGTTTTATTTTATGATGTAAAATATTTAACAATACATGAAAGTATATGCAGATTTGCCAGACTATTAATATTCACCATACATAACCTTCTCTTTCATTAAACGCATAGTAAATGTTTGATTTGGTGTCTAAAGAAATCAATGAATTGTTCCATTCACGTTTATGAATGATATTATTTGACGATTTCCCAAAGTCATGCATCAGAGTTCTATACACATGAGAATGTAATCAGCTAAGGAAACTCATTTTTTTTTATCATATTCACTTCTCAGATAACTTACATATTTAGCTACACACTTCATTGCATTATTTTTATTACTTGACATAATTAATCATATTAGATCTGAATCTTTTCACACTTCTGTTTACTTTTAATAATCTTCTCTAAAATATGCATTCCATAATTTATTAGTGGTTTTCATAGTATTCCTCAAAACATACATTACAGCCAGGGGGGGAATGTTCTGAATGTAGGTCCACTGTAGAATGGTGTGGCTGAGAATAATGTCTTGTTTTCCCTGTCCTAACAATTATTAACATTTATTTGAGCAGGAAGTATAGTCAGATTTTTATTTTAACAGGAAGTAAGACTAATTTCATTTATTTGGACAATAAGGACTGATTTTACCAGCTAGGTAAACATGATGTAAATTGTATGAGTTGAATCTTCACCTCGAATATTTTGATAAAAATATATTAAAGGTATGTCACAACAAAAGCATTTTTACTAAAAAAAAAACACAGATTATATTGGGAAATGTTTATTGAAATTAATGTTCCTATTTTCCAAGTCCTTTTTGAGTACATAATATTAAACAAGTTTCTCCTAAGTGAAGGAGTAACAGATGTAATTTAATTATCATTTGATAAGACATCCCTTTTTGGCATATTTCTCAGAAAATAAGACAGGGAATAACTCAATAACTGGATGACAAACCATCTAATTATTTGCTTTCAATAAAACTGAAGGCATACCCAACCAACCGTCTGCTGATCAATCATTAAAAGTCGCCTTGTGATTTTTGGCATAAAACTCACAAAGAGTTCAGAGTATTGAATGACAGTACTATACTAAAACTCCTTTCATTCACATTGACTTAATTATGTGAACAAGGCTTCTCAACACTAGCATTTATAAATTGAAAAAAAGAAAGAAGCAGGAAAAAATTGGTGCAGAATGTGGTCTCATTCCAAAAATAATAACACTCAAATCTGGAGACATAAAGTGATTGAAAACAAAACAACCCCATTTATCTCATTAAGATGCAATTCCAAAAAAATTCACTTTTTGCGTTTAGCAATCACTAACATTTGTAATGTATTTATTGCTTTGAGCAATTCTGTACCAAAAATAATTGTGATGACTCAATACTTAGGGTCATATAACATGTTTAAAAATTAATTTCAATTAATATACTGAAATAGTTGCAAAGAAATATAATGGAGTGATCAATAAATTGCTTTCAAACACAAAATATATTAGAGCAGGGTAAAATTCTATGGAGGAAGTGGAGCAGGAGTAAGAGTTCAAGAAGGAAAGAGAATGAAATATATTTTCTATTAAAGAAGAGCTTGTTTGTATACATTTTTTAAAAGGACCAGAGTGAGTATCAATTTGCTTAAGGTGGTTATATTTATAACCCATTGCTTATATTTAAAGAAATGATTTAACGGTTTTGTTTTAAAACGTCAATATTTAGGAGGGCCTGGAAGTTTTATGTTTTACAACTATTTCAATTTATGATGAGAACTTAACTTTTCTGTGAACTTAAAAAATACATGAATTTGAGGACCACTGACCTAGACTCCCTAAGTACCCATTTGGTTTTGGCTTTCATCCCAAATGTTTCTTCTTCAGACAACCGTTACCATCTGGGAAGCTGGAGTAATTGTTACTGTCAGATGATAAATCTCCCAGTTAGGGGACATAATGTGACTCAGTGGGATAGCCAATAACTCAGGAATCAAGAGTCTTGCAGCCCTGAACTTTTTGGAATTCTGTCTTATATTATGCTGAGGAAAAAAATGAATGAAAAAGTTTGAGGTAACTTCCTCATGCTAGTCACTGGTCTAGAGCTTTTAATGCGCCTTCAGAACAACTGCCTTAGACAGGAATCACCCTTCCCACTTAGCCAACCATAAAACTGAGCCCTAGATGGCTTGTTTCTCGCCTAAGGCAGCAGAGAGAATATGAATTAGAGCAGGGAGCTGAGGTTGGAACCCATTTCTGCCTGACTGCACTTCCTCTGTCTTTCCAAGACTCCATTTGGCTTCTCAGTAACATGAACGCTTAAGGTGAAAAGACGCTCCATATTGGAAACAATTTACGGAGTAAACACGGGCAAGTAAAGGTCCTCCATGCTGAGTTCCCCCTTACCACCGATGCAATGAAGGATGGCAGGGCTATCCACACCCTGCCCTCCCTCAGCCACCAAGGAGCTTAGAGAGACAGCGGATGGAGAGAAATTTCCACCACCCTCGGTTCAAGTGGAATTGGAGGAGAAGTTGCTTTAGGAAGCAGTATTTGGAGGAGTGAAGGTAAGGGTAAGGGGACGGTGGCCTTGTTCTAGCCTCCAAGACTAGTGCTAGTGATGGGAGTGCTAACAGTGAATCACTTATCTATTCATTCCGTCTGCCTACTATACACCAGGTAATGGACTCAATTCATGCTCCATGTTTAGGTAGCACAATTCTATCAATAATATACTGGCTCTAGAGTAAAGCACAATACACAGTGACTTTATGAAGGATTCGTGTGTTAATTTCCTAATTTTTCTGTAAGAGATTGGGACACTGGAGGGCAAACCCTCTCTGATGCTTAGAGGAGACCTGTGTGCGCAGTGGGTCTTAGCCAAGTGTATTTTCTATAAGCCTTCTCTGATTGCTCTCTGTTGGTTTTGGATTCTGAGCAATAGAAGACGAATGAACAAATGAAAGACTCAAAAGAGGGATGTACCGAATTAAAGCAGGCGCTGCTCCAGTCTTAGGTGTGAACGCAGTCTTCATGGTGGTAGCATAGGAATCCCAACTGGTATCACCTGCTAAAAGTACAATATAACAGACTTAAGTGTGGCAAACTAGCATATTTTGATCAATAGTTTTAATAATTAAACTAATTTTGTGAGAGGCAAACATTTTGAGTAGGAATTTAGAGTCTAAAAGAATGAATACCAACTTGTGACATCTGCTAGGGAAGAGGGGAAACTCAGTTTAATTATCTGAGTTTCCTCCCTCTACTGTTTTTCTTGAGAATTCACACGTGCTATTTTAAAGAATTTAAGCAATACATGAAAAGTGAAGAAGATAGTTCATTTGAAATTCTATCATCTTAAGATACTATCAATGTTTTAGTGCCTGACTTTTCATGAGTCTTGTATAAGCACGCAAACTGATTTTACACAAAAGGGGTCATGGCTTATATGCCAGGTTCTCTCCTGGACCCTTCTCCTTGCTCCTGCCAGTCCCTGCTTGTTATCCGTCTCCACCACCCCCATCCTCCCAGGCAGCCCACGTTAAGGACTGTGCATGTTTCTTTCCAAACTGTTATACTTGCTGATATAATCAGATACAGATGGATATAGATGCATATCAATACATTAGAGTTTGGTTTTTCGTTCTCACCATTGTGTTTTACAAAAATGGGCTCATCTCACACAAAGTGCCCTTCTGTTCTGTCACCTAATGGCATCATATGGGAAACCCTTCTAACCTGTCTGGTCCAGCTCTAATTCATCCTTTGCGTAATGGTGCAAGACTGTGGTATAGACGTTCTTTAAAGCCGTGAGAGTGGATGAACTCAACAAGGGAAGGAGTGTCATTAGAGGAGGTGACGTCTAAAGGCTGAAGCCCAGGGTCCCCCAAGTTTGATTTCGGGCTTCTGGACTCCAAAATGTGAGGAAATGAATTTCTGTTGTTTTAAGCCACCAGTTTGTGGTGATTTATGGCAGCCCCTGGAAGGAATACAGCACTTAAGAGCCCAGGCGATAGTAATAATTCAGTAGCAATTAGCTCAGAGTCGTCATCATCAGCCTCATCCTATTTTGAGACCAAAGCTGGGCAGCGACCCCTCAGGCCTGCCTTCTGGAGGGTGACCCTTCCAGCAGCGGAGGAGGAAGTAGCACAGAGCAGCTGTTAGAGACTCAAGACTGGCTACGAAGGGGCAGACTCCCCCAGGGGAAGCGGAACTCTGGAGGCAGAAGCAGTGAGACCTGGTCATCAAATTGAAGTGTCAGTGAGGCTGCCCTCCCTTCTACTTGGAGCAGCTAGGACCCACCCCTCCCCGCAACTGAGTTTCTAAAGTCTAGGAGGACAAGGGGTGTAACTGCGCACATTTTGAGCTTGAAGCCCTTTGGTGACATCCAAATGCATCTGGTGGACGGATGGATATTTTAGTCTGAGAATTAGGGAGAGCGTCTGAGTTAGAGGTAAAGATTAGAGGGCCATTCATAGCACCTGTATGTAGACTTGAAGCCCTGTGGCAGGATGTGGCCGCTCACACAAGGCACGTAAACCAAGAAGAATAAAGCTTGGAGTACTCCAACTTTCCCAGACAAGAAAAGGGTGAGTGAGCAGACGGTGAAAGAAACCAAGACAGGGTGACTGGAAGAGAGGGCGAGATTCAGGAGGGCTGCTGTGGGGCCAGTCCTGGGGAAGAGGCTCTCCACCACTGCCCCCCTGCCCTGCCTCTCCTCTTTGCCTTGATGCCATAGAGAAAGTCAGTGTTGTAAATATTTTAGTATTAATTACTTTCATTTGCTATCCTTAATTTACAAAAGGATGAATGGAATGAAAGTACGCATTTCACTCATTCCTGGGAGACCGCAGTTCTAGGGAATTTGCAATTGAACAGTCCCCACTGTTCTGCAGCCTCCAGGGAGCTACAATCACCCAGCTAGAGGGCTGTGGTGGGTTATTATTGCCGTGAGGAAGGCCAGGACAGAGCTGACTACACAGTAATCATGCCACTAGCATCACAGCTAGAGTGGCTCTGCCCTGGCTGACACAAAAAGCTGAGTTAGTAAACCAGCTGCATTTGCATGCAGAATGAGTATCAAAAGCACTGCCTCTGTCAAATACAAAATCACTTTGAAAGAAAAATCAGTGAAGGTTAGAAGCGACAGCTGAACAGGCAGAGTTCCCAGCCCCTGCTACAGACACGTGGGGGACGGCTGCCTCTGCAGACCCAACCGGAGGGTCGCCTGTCTGCGTCCTGCAACCTCCCACCTTCCATGCTGGTTCCCAGATTCTGCCTGGGACCAGGGCTCCCGCTGCGTCTGCTCTCTTCAAAGCTCCTGATCTCCGTTCCTTCTTTGTCTTTGGCCTTGTTCTCCTGAAGGCACAAGTCCTTTTCTCCTGTCCCCTCCTGGGCATTTCATGGAGTATTTAAAAGCACCTGAGCGTTTTAGGGAGAGGTTTGGCAGAAGGTTTGGCATAGAGCTGGGAAGAGACAAGGTCATGAACACTCATTCTCCCTGACTCCCAGCCTCTCTTTAAAGTGAGTCCCACCCGTAAGAGCCAGGCACACACCCTTAAAGACGCAAGCAGCCTTGCCCTGGGTATCCCATCCCCAGGAGAGGCCCCGCCCCCGCCCCGCCGGCTGGCAGGGTCCGCAGACTTACTTCGCTGGATCTTGTGCCCATATTGAGAGGGGCACAGAGCCTCGGGCCCAGGCTGTGCCATTCTTGCCCCAAGAGGCCGTCGCGGGGCCCCTTCTGCCAGCTGGACTGGGCGCTGCACGGCTGCATTGTGACGCGTCGCCATGGAGAGGAGGTCGGTTCAGCCACTCAGCCAGGGGCGCACGTGGAGCGAGGTGCAGGGCGCTTACCCAGGCCGGCTGGGGGACCGGGTTCGGAAAGCAGAAGGATGTGTTCCCAGTAACATGAATACCTTACTTTCGTGTACTTGTATTGTTCATACAATGAGCTTTCCTGCGCATTGTCTTGTGTAACTGGGGAGAGGAGCACGGAGAGATTAGACTGAAGTGAGCACAGGAATTAGCAGAGGAAGGAAGGTGAGAGAAAAGTGTGCTTGGAAAGAGGAGAGAGCAGGGATGTTTGTGACACCTTTCTTCTCCCAAGGCCACGTTCCTGGTACCGAAAACCGTGTTTTGTGATTATCGATTGAACTGATCTTCCGTCCCCACAGATGAAACTGTCTCCCACCCCTAAGTATGTTAGAGTTTTCCCATCATGTGGAGTGCCTTTTATATTCATATTATTGGCACCTACCTGAAAATCTGAGGCATAGTAGGTGCTCAGTAATATTGAATGCCTCCAGGTTAGGACACAGCTATTACCCACGTGGGTGCACAGAGAAGACAGTAAGTGTGCGTTGGAGATTGCTGGCAACATGTTTAGAAAGCAATTTACAACCATCCCTTATCCTTTCAAGGGGTTACTCTAACATAGGACCTTAGGGGAGCAGGGAGGTGTAACAGAAGGGAGTTTATCAAAGGAGACAGAATAGGCATCAAAGTAAGGATCCCACGAATATATGCAAGGAGTTTCTTCAAAATGAAGCGCTACTAGCATTTTCTGAGAGTCCTATCCATGTAATGGAATGAATGCAACACATTGAGACTCTCAGATTTAGAGCAGTGAATAGTGGGACACATGAGGAGACCTAGATTTCTGTAGATGTTATTAGAAGGGATGAGTCTAAGTTAGGATTTAGTAGTGGCGTCTAAATTAAGAAAGTAACACCCAATAACAGATTATCGTCTGGAAATAGAGCTAATTGGCATGGCATAATTTAAGAGAACTATATTTTAAAAATAGCACAGTGAGTACATAGAGTTTTAAAAGTGAATTTTTATTAATATCCTACATTTGCCTCGTCTGAAGCAAGCCGTGCAATGGTGGGGTACGCACTGAATGAGAGTCAGAAGACGCATCACTTTCTAGCCGGGAGCCTCGGGGAGAGAGCAGACGCTGCTCGGAGCCCCAGCTCCCTTGTCTGTAAAGTGAATATATGAGAACGTACCTCACTGGGCTGAAAGGTGAATAATTCTAACGACAATTTATAACCCTTCAAGCCACACAAACCAAAGCTATTGCCCTTTTGTCTTACTGCTCTTCTGATCTCCATCCTTTTTAGAATCTTTCATTTCTGCTTCAGAATGGATTGCTGGGATGGGCCCATTGCATTGTGAGCAGTACAGCACTCTGCCTGCCTTTGGATTTGGATTCCTCAAGGCAACTCTGTTCAAGGATTAAGCAGAATTCGTTTCCTTTCTTCTTCCCCTCAACAAGTACTGAGCACATTGAGGGCAATGCCCGGTACCACGGGAGCCCGGGGGGCGGGTCCCGGGAGAGGAGCTGCCTGCACTGAGCGCTCAGGGGAGGGGGGGAGGGGCCACAAGGCCGAGCAGGCGCCCAGGAGGCGGAACGGCCTGCGCCTGCGCACGCCAGAGCCCCTGACAGCGCGGTCCCTCCACACTGCAAAGGGGACGGGGAGCTGAGCAGAAGGCTCTGAAGCCTGGGTCCACCTGGACACACAGAGAAGGCGCTGAAGTGGGTTAGACGACAGAGCGGGGTCAGGTTGGTTAGTTTAAGTAAATCTTGGGCTCTTCTCCTGGAGCAAGAGAAGCAAGGTTCCGTATCCCGCCAGAGTGAGTCAACCATACAGGTACAAAGACATCTAGGTCACCAAGATGGCTCTTCCAGTGTTTTGAATTAATCAAAACCAACTGAAGGTAGTTACACTGAATGGGTTAAATGTTAAGTGGTTATTTCCAAGTGAAATGATTACAATAAATTTCTCTCTGCCACACACACTACAGAGGGAATGTGATGAATAGTAGAGACGGGGTGGGTGGTGGCGGAGGGGACAGCAAGGATAGAAATTTGGGCTGTGAGGGAGGAAAGTCTAGCGGGAAAGAGGGAGTGGGTCAGGTAGACAGTTACTACTTGAAATGAGGGAGGACTAGCCAAGTTCATAGGCCAAGGGGAAGGAGCAGGGAGAGAGAGAACTTGATGCTCCAGGAGAGAGCAGGTGGGGTCTGGGCCCAGGGAGGCAGGTGTGCCAGGAAGCTGCTCCCCGCACCGAGCGCACCCACCGCCACCCGGGCTTCTGGCCAGAACACAGGCCAGTGTGTCAGCTCGGCCAGAGAGTCTGCTTTTCTAACCAGATCCCCAGGTGATCCATAAAGTATGAGAAGGGCAGGTAGGTCTAGCGCCTTGTCCAAGGGCCGGCAGCCTGGGTACCACCTGGGAAACTGCTAGAAACGCAGCAGCTCAGGCCCCACCCAGACCTCCTGCGGCTTAACCGCCAGCAGACTCCTGGGCACCTTCAAGTGTGAGGAGCTCTGCTCCAGGCAATGGGAGAGGCAAGTTTGTCTCCTGAATGAGAGGGAGAATGGGAAAGAGTTGATGGGAGACTGGGTGGATGGCTGCGTCCAAAAGCCCAGAAATGGTCACAGACCTTCCTTAGCGATGCCACGTGCTTTGGAAACAGATTTCCTGAGTGAAGTTTCTCTCTCTGGCTTGCTTGTTACATTTGGGGCAAAGACTTTCTATTACTATGTAGTATGTGCTTTTATTCAAGTGTCTTCATGTTAAAAAAAAAACTGCCTTTTCTTTTTGTTTTGGCTGATTGATTAATTCATAAAACATTTTCTCAATTTCTGTGATAGACTGTATTATTAAGAGTTCTCTAGAGAAACAGAACCAATACAGCGTGTGCTTACAGAAAGAGATTTCGTTTAAGGAACTGCCTCACACAGCTGTGGAGCCTGGCAAGTCCTAAAGCTGGCCAGCAGGCCAGAGACCCCGGGCAACTCTGGGCAGATCCGACCTTGCAGTTCAAGTCTGAAGGTCATCTGTGGAGAATTTCCTCTTGCTCAGGGCAGGTCAGACTTCTGTTATATTCAGGCCTTCGAATGATGGGAGAGGCCCACTGGCATCGTGGAGGGCCATCTGCTTTACTTAAAGTCCACTGATCTCAATGTTAGCTTCATCCAAAAACACCCTCATAGAAACATCAAGACTAATGTTTATCGAGACATCTGGACACCGCAGCCCAGCCAGACTGACACATAAAATTAACTATCAGAGATCCGTGTCTTCCTGAGGTCATCTGGTTCATATCTGCCACTAAGAGGGGTTGAGGTTAAGCAGTCCATGAATGAATGCTATCCTTTCATTGAAAAAATCCACAGAAGAAAATTCTGTAATATTCTCTATTTTATTAGGACAGCCCAGTTTAATAGGGTAAATTCTAAGCTCTGCTTGTAGCTTGCCATTCACCAAACTCACTTACATTTTATCCAAATAAAGCCATGAGAGCAAGTTCAGACCTTGATTCTATCAAAACCTCATCAATCGTGTATAAATGTCACCTCCCTCCTGGGCCATCTCTGCTGTCTCTGATTCTTGTGTTTTGCTCTTGTCTGAACTCTTAAGAGTAATTACTAACACCTTGCATTGTTAGTCCTCTCAAGTTTATTCAAGCCGTGAATATCAAGTGTGAACAGTCATTTTAAATCTGTTATACCAGCATTTATCCATCCAAATGAATGTTCTCTTCTTCAAAGTAATCGTTTATTCTAATGACACCATGATTGCTTAAAGCATTTTTGAAATTCTTTAGAAACTCCCTTTAGAAATTGATGCACATCCTTTTGAATGTCTTAAATAGGGGTGTAACTTTGCTCTTTGAAGATAGACTGGGTATTTGAAACAGTAAGAAGAAACTTGAGCTGATAATTAAGGTAGGCAATCAAGTCTGGCAATGTTATCCTTTGGCCAAAAATCAAACTATAACCATGAGGTAATAAGGAAAAAACTCCTTCATTCTGTAGATAATGTCTGGATTTGCATTCTTATTGGAACAAATTAATAGCTTCCAAGGTGGCTCTTTCAACTGAGAGCTTCAATAAATCAGTTGCTTGAATAAATCAATCCTTACATGTTTGTTTTAAAGCTAAATTTTACAGTTATATTTCATTAATTTTATCTCCAAAACTGGATCCCAAGATTTTTAGATGCTTTCCTTTTTGAATCTCCCCCGTGGCACTTATTTGATTGTTCTTACTAGCTTATGCACCTTTACAAGACTGGGAGCTCCTTGAAAGTAGGAGCCATGTTTTAGGTACAATATACCAGCCTCATGCACTGCACACAGCAGGCACTCAATCATACCTGTTGAATGAATGGATGATTGCTTAGGCCATTCCTGTCCTATAGATTTCTAGTGGTCTTAGTCTGTCAAAACATCGGAATCAGGCCACATATATCCCCAGATCTCTTCTACCCAGGAACATCTGTCCCAATAGACTTTTCACCAACTTTAAAGATTTCCCAATTTTGCTTCTTTGTGACATTTGCTAATGAAATACGTTAGCACAGTGTACATTTCTTTAGAGGGAGTCGATAAAAGTTTGCTGAGTGAATTTCAAATGAGTGACTGCTGAGTCAACTGAAAAACAAATTTTAATGATAAAAGAAAGCTTTCAGATCTTTAGTCCATTCCTGGAGTGGTTCCCAATGGTTTCCCCAGATTTAACTACTTTTGAAAAATCTACTTTGTCAGTTTTTGTGAATAGGGTTTCTATTTCCTTTGGGAAGCATGTAATATTTGATATTCACCAGTGGTTTGTTTGCTTTGGCATAACATTTATGTTATTGTTCATACTCTCCATTTTGCACTGAGCTGAGTAACAAATGTTTGTCCTCTTCTGTTATTAAGGAATAGTTCCCTTTTCTGAAACATCAGTATCAATTTTTTTTTCTTCAAATTCTTCATAGACCTGCTCTTTAAAAGGCTCTTCTTCAGAAAGTAGCCGTAAGACCACAGTTCTGCTGTGAGTTAGTAAGTTACAAGGCAAGCACACCCCCTGCGGAACCCAGGGAGGATCGCACACGCTTGGTCACAAAGTTAATCAACTCTATGCTGAATGCTAAGGAAACATTTAACTGCACAAATATAGTACACAACATTTCAAATATAAGTGAAAGGCCGATTAGTAGTGCTATCAAAATGTATAATACAGAAATATTCTTTAAAAGGATACAAAAATTATACTCAGGACCCATACATCTTCCTCATTATTGTATATGTAGTGAATCATTCGTGCAGGTTTTTATATGTAAATAGGATGATTTTTTTTCTTTTTGAAGAACTCCACTGTAGCTATGAGATGAAAAATGTATTGATGTAACAACGTATTATGGTAATGGTATAGCTTTCTTCAATTTTGCTTTTAGTGTTAGGAGAACTAAAAGCTTATAAAATACCCAACTGACATAATGTGCTTTTAATAAAGAGGACACTGCCGTATACATTACCCTTCTCCTGTCATGTCTGGTATCACATCACCTGGCCTCTTTCTACACAGGCCACGTTGATAAGAGGGAGGCCAAGGGAGTTCAAATTGCAGGCAATGGGGGGCGGGGTTATCCACCTGGCCAGTCCTCCAGCAAATCGTACCTTGAATGTTTCTCCTAAGGTGTCCTATAGGCAGGATGAAAAACAGACTTGCCTTTCAAGGAGAGATGTCCTGGCTTTTTGCCCAGCCAAATTTGCAAGAGAATAGCACTGCTAACCCCATGCTTGCTGGGTGTGGGTTCAGACAAGGATGTTCCAAGCAGAGGGCTGAATCCAAATTTATGAAGCATTACAGGGCAAAACCCAAGTCAGAGGGCTCCCACAAAGGCTGCCCGGGAAGTTCTCAGGACGCCAGGGTGTCAGCAAAGTGTTCAGGGTGGCAGGACCTGCCGCTCCCTCTGCCTCTTTGGAGAAGTGTTAAAAGGAGAGGACACCACCCCCCGCCCCAGGCCATGGGGCCAAAGCCCCCCAATCCTGAAGTCAGCTGCCAAGGCACTGCCCGTGGACATGGAAGAGAGGGGTGTCTGTAGGAGCAGAGGGCGGAAGTGCCTGCCTCCCACCTCTCTCTCGTTCCCTCAACCTTAGTTGTGGCGCAGGCCCGGGGAGCAGGAGGAAACCCCGAGTGTCCAGTCCAATCAGATAAATTGGTTGGGTGTCTCTTCAGATTCCACAACACATGGAAATGGCAATTCTGTCAAAAGAGGCTCCGCCAAAGATGATCTGGGTGACAGACTGCAGTTAAAAACTTCATCTATTGAACCTGAAAAAGGTAAACAGGGCAGGCATTATTACCATCACTGGGAAAACAAAACCATAACCCAACAGTGCCTTAAAACCCGTGCAACACCCAGCGTAACCATTTCAATAATGAACAGCGAATCTGGCTTCCCCAGAAAAACTCAGAAAGCTGACAGAAACGTGCTGCTTTCTGTTTACCTGCAGGATGTGGATTGTCACCTGTTTTCTCCAGGGCCTGGAGATGCAGGTACCCTTTCTCATTTGATGACAAAAGGCCCACAGGTGGGGGACAGATGCTGGGACACAGGTCAGTTTTTGAGTGGAGATGGAGCTGGGCTAACTGATCACAGGGGCAGAGCCGGTGGAGCTGTCTGCTGGGAGGCGGTGGGGGCTGCTGCATAGTGGCTGGGCCAACTATGGTGCATAATGATGGCTCCGTGGGCCTTGAAGTGTCCTTCTCACTGCCCTGGAGTGGAAGTGGCCCCAGGGCTGGCTCAGAGGAAACTTGCAAGGAAGCACTGCCCAATTTCACATGCCCCACAGTGTCCCCAGGATGTGGGTGGACATCCGGGCAGCATATAGGATAGAGGGTGAGCAATAGTGAAACAGTGAAGCGCTGCCCAGGCTGCAGTGGCCAGTGGGTGAGGCTGGAGGGCGTCACAGGAAGGACCAGGCATCTGGGATGGCTGCAACCAGGCAAGGTAATCCTCCCCAAATAGGAAGAGCGTATAACCACCCACATGGCTGCCATGGAGCAGAGCAGAAGGGCATCTTTGTAGGAAACAACCAGCAGAGGAAGTTACAGCAAGGGGTTGGGGGGGGGGGGGAGGAGGGAGACACAGAGAAGCTCCTTCCAGGATAAGAGCGAGCTAGGAGTAAGCATTTTTGCTAGAAACACTGGAAGAAAGGAACTGTCATCAAATACAATTAATGAAACCTTTGGGTTTGTTTTTTTTCTAATTTTTTGAAAACTGCAGGTTCATAGAGACTGGTGTTCTTTTGTTTGCTTGTTTTTGTTTGTTTGTTTGTTTGCAATCAGCAGCAGGAGTTCTGGTTCAAGGACATTGCCTTCCAGCCCAGACTAGCCTGGGACAGAGAAGGGCTCAGCAAAAGACAAATCCAGACAAGACCTGACTGATGCCACTTCCTTAACCGCGACAGACTAGTCCTGGGCGGAGGCGCTGGGTATTCAAAGCTAGAACACACCCCATGTGATCTGTAGCATTCTCAAGAGTTCTTCTTTTTTTTTTTTTTTAACAAGTTTTAAAAACGTTTTTTCTTCACTGGTGCCTCATTTTTTTTTTTAATTGAAGTATATCCAGTTTACAATGCTCTGTCAGTTTCTGGTGTACAGCATAATGTTTCAGTCCTACATACACATACATATATTCTTTTTCATATTCTTTTTCACTATAGGTGACTACAAGATGCTGAATATAGTTCCCTGGGCTATACAGAAGAAACTCATTGTTCATCTATTTTATATATGGTAGTTAGTATCTGCACATCTCAAACTTCCCAATTTATCCCTTCCCCCCGCCTTCCCCAACTGGTAACATAAGTTTGTTTTCTATGTCTGTGAGTCTGTTTCTGTTTTGTAGGTAAGTTCATTTGTGTCTTTTTTTTTTTTTTCAGATTCCACCTATGAGTGATATCATGGTATTTCAGCCACAGAAAAGAATAAAATAATGCCATTTGCAGCAACATGGATGGACCTGGAGACTGTCATTCTAAGTGAAGTAAGCCGGAAAGAAGAAGAGTTATTCTTTTGCGGTCTTACAAACTCTGCAGAACCCTTCCAAATATTTTTGAAGATAGATGTCTTGACCAGGTAGCTTCCTCCACCAACCAACACTTTTCCTTAACATTCTGTTGCGCTGAATAATCACATGAGGAAAGCATTATTCTTTTATATTTAAATCATTATTAACAAAACTTAAATGAGTTTAACATGTATGTACATTAATAATATATTTTAAAATTATTTTCTAGGTGCACTGCACAATAGAACTGCTGTCAGAAGACTTTGAGGAGCCTAAAAGAAAAAGTCACTGTGCTGCTTTTTCATGGTAAACATTTCTCACATCTTATTTCCTGAAACAGGTGATATTATACTTGCCCTTTATCAAGAGGCTTTATCTTTTCAACTAACTGATTCTTCTCTCCCTTGATACTATTCTCCCCTTTTGCTTAACTGTCTTCCTCAGGTACTTGAGAGCTCTTAACATACCTCTGGAAGTGACACTGAATTTTCGGTCAGAGAAACTGCTCCTTCGGATTAAAGGCTCACTCATTTTTTCCAGGAATAATTTAATGGTCTCCTTCTTTTCTGGACTTGTACTTGACAAATTCAGGACTTTTCCATTCACTTTTACAGTGGAATTGCTGAGCCCAAACCAATAGAAGAAATCAAATAACGCATCAGCCTTGAATTCATACGCAAAGCTCAAATTTTCTCCGTTAACCACCTTGTTTCCTGGAGGGAAAAAATTCTTTACTGCCTCTTGAAAATCAAACTGAAAGAGAAAGAAGCAGTTAATGGATTTCACGGGTTATATTACAGACATATTTCATTGTAGAATTATATTATAGAATTAACAATGGCCAAAATGTCCAAAATATCACACCTCTTATTTCTCTTTCATTCTGACGTATTTTTAAACATTTGCTTTGATTTTTTTTTTTAAACAGACCTTTGCATTTGCTTCAGATTCCATGTAAAGACCTTGAACTGCTCGGTCAAGTTTATATTTATTCTTCCCCGTGTCTAATAAGTGGCTAGCAACTATGCTCATTTTCTTGGTAGTGATAATGAAGCAATGGGAAACTTCTATGCCTGCATTCAGTTAAGTTACAGTTAAGCTCCAGGGACTCAGCCCTGGCAGGTAGAGAGCACAGACGCCCTCTGTGCGTTGACAGCCCTAGATTCAGACAGACTGACGCTCACCTGAAGCCGGTAGCTTTCTCCAGCCACTGAGGAAATGACCATGTCCATCCCCTGCTCCAGCTGTCTTCTTATCTTGGGGTGCCTTGTGTTCACAAGAAATGCGTATGTTCTTTCTAGAAATTAGGACACAGAAGTCAAAGAGAAGGGTGCATGTGTGATGTAAACATACTTCTGACAAAGCAGTGATTCCCACCGTATTTGGAGATTTTATTTGTTTATAACTTCCCTTGCTGCTCCCTCAGGACCTGGCTGCAAAGCCTAACCCATCTCTAGGAATGTTTCTGAGAAGTTTGCAGATGTAAATGTGAAGGAAGCTCCAGGATCTTGTAAAGGCAGCTCAGAAAACCAGCTCCCCCTAGGCTACACTTTGTCACTCTCGTCTCAGAAATCGAAAATTCCGTTCCGTAATTATCACAGATGAGGACTAAGTCGCTGATGCACGCATCCAGTGCGGGGAGCCAAAGTGAACACGGGTTCCCGCCTGGCTGATAAACAGTGACTTGGCTCTCACCAACACTTCCTCATTTGCAAAGCAGAAAATCAGCAAAGTCCAGGGACGGAGGCTGCCCCGTGGCTGCCCCTCCCTCTTCCTTCCCTGCCCTCCCCCAGAGCCCTTTGCCAAAAGGCTAATCTGGGTTCTAAGGACCGAGGCAATTTGAGGTTGGTTCTCCTCCATGCCCCACTCCAGCAACACGAGCCCGTGGGAAAGTCTCTCCCGTTGTTTAAATACTAACGCGTCTGTGTCCTGGCAGTTGTTTTTTGTTGGTGTTTGTTTGGTGGGTTTGGTTTAGTAATCCCTTAAATCCAACTCTGTCCAAATCTATATAATCTAAGCAAAAGGAAGATTGTTCACTCACTAGGAAATTTGAAATATTATTAACCAATAATCTCTTAACTTTTCCAGCCCCCAGGATCAAGCTCTATGGCCTTCATTACTCAAGCATTTTTTCTAGGAAGATATATAACATAGGATGTCACCCTTTGTCTAAAGGCCATGGACCAGCCATCACATGATTTTGGAAACCGAACATTCTGCGCTGGCTTTGAGCGTCAAACCTGTGGTCCACGAAGAGCAAGCGTTACGTCCTTGGGGAATACATTTTGAACTTAACTTTTGTGCTATCCTTATTCATCTTATTTTTCCTACTGTGCTTTTCCTGTCTCCCAAATCACTTGGGGGACACTTTAGATATAAACCACCTTATATCCTCTTTGAGAAAAGATATAAATAATTGAGTAAAACAAGCCAGCAATTTGATACCTTGAGTTAACTTTCACATAAGCCAAATCAAGACCTTTGAGCTCATTAGACACTCAGGGCCACCACACTCCACAGTTGTGCTGGTTGGGCAGGTTGCGCACTGCACAATTCTAGAGGCTGCCAATCACTTTCACGTTGTCTATGTGTATATTTCTAATGACAAACTTCTGGGAAGGATCAGTAAATTGCCTGGCGTTAATGGTGGCTTTTTCTAAGTTTGCACAAGAGTATATTTTGGGATAGCAGCAGGGCTGAACATGTTGCATCACAATTTTCATAACTTAACCTTGACCACATTAAGAGTCTATGTCAGAGAATTTCTTCATTTCATGGCTTTCCTTACAATTAACCAGGACTGGGTTTCAGTGCCTCCTTCCACAAGAGACACAACTGTGTACTTCTGAAGGCCACCCACAAATATTCCTTCTACCACTCCCTGTACTTTCATGAAAATGTTAAAATGGAGAGGTCTCTCATTCTTTCTTGAGATTCCTCCTGAGAGGTCGACGCAGGAGGTGTACTTGATACATCTGTGAATTACATTCTTAGAGAATTCCCTGGCTTTCTAGTCACCATCAAGCCAAATAAGATCAGGGGCTCAGAGGCTCTAACAAGCATTGCTTGTTACAGTGCGATCTGTTCCCGGCCCCTCCTGCAGAGAAGGACATCGTGACTTTGAATGATGAAATGAGCAGGGAATCTGAATGACTCTGAATGAGACAGCAGAGAGTCAGCTCCACAAATCCGAATGAGAGGGCAGGTTTGAGGAAGTCTGTTTGGAATTTGTAGATCAATTCTTATTCCCTTGGGCTCATTTTAAGAACGGTATTTAGAAATAAGTTTAAGACATTCTAACTCTATCACAGAGCATTATGCTCATGACTTACACCACATATCACTTGAGGAGGAGGAAGAAGTTAAAAACTGAGATATTTTGATATTGGAATTTGAGTTAATATAGTTGTTATCAGTTGGTCTGATTTCTTGGAAGAAAACGAGAAAGAGATATGTCTAAAATTGAAATTTGAAGGCTATAACATGAAATATAAAAGCATCGAAATCATTTACCTTCTGTATCTTAGTTTTCTCCTTTATAAAATGGGGAGAATCCGAGTCCTTCCTCAGGCAGGATGACCATTCATCCTAGCTAAGCCTGAGTCTCTTCCAGTTTGTACCTCTGTTGCAGCATAATTATTAACAGTACCTGCTTTCATGCTCAAAAACGTTCTCCTTTGGATGATATGCCCAGCGGGGCTGTTGGCAAATTAATGACATCAGAGCATGCCTGGCACACGTGTTTGGGATGCGGTAAACAGTAACACAGATCATCCTCTTCATCACTCCGGTCATCTTTGCAACCCCTGTAGGCTCAGAAATCACTCCCTGCTCAGACAGGAAGCATGAAAGAAAACTCAGGAGACAGATGGCTTCAGCCGGAGGATCATTCAGGGGTTTGCTCTGCTTGTGCCGGGCTCTCGGTGGCCTAACACGGCAGGCTTCTCATTTCCAGCCTGGCACGAGCTGACGTCCACCCTGCTTTCTCCAGGCCCAGCGTCTGCCTCAGCAGCTGACCACAGCCCACAGCCCAGCAAGGCAGAACCAAGCGCAAACGTCTACAGACCTACCTTTCGAGGCATCCTTTTGGGTTTGCACGTTAATAAAGAACAGCATTGGTTTGCTCAATATAGTTTCCCTGTAGTCTTTATAATCACAGTAGTTGGTCAGTTCCACATACCTATGAAGAAAGCAGAGAAGATGGCAAGTGCAGTGAACCCTCCAGTCACAGTCAGGAGGGGACGTGCTGGCCAGGTGCCTGCAACATCTGCAGACCTTTTGAAGAAAGTCCCCTAACGTGTGCCCTTAGGGAAGCAGCCATATCTTGTACCAAATGCATAAATCCTCCTCCCTGGTCGGCAGACAGATCTGCATGCAGCCCAAAGGTGTCCGTGGTCCTGGGGGCACCTGGCACCAACGCTTGGCTCTCAGAGGCAGTCTTCACCAGATGCTGACCAGCACCGTCCACCTTGGGCTGTAAGAGTTAGTTTGAAGCTACAGGAGTGCTATGTCTCTCTGGACTGAGAATGACTTATACTCAATCAGTGGAATTCGCTGGGTCTGCTCAGTGCAGTCATCCTGACTAACTGGTGGGTCTGAAATTTTCCTCTCCTTCTCCTCTCCTCTTCCCTTCTCTAATCCCAAGACAAACCCGGCCCCCCCACCCCGCCATAGATTACGCAATCGACCAGCATTCACATGAACTGATTCACCTCTCCCTGACGGCGAGCGTGTGCAGTTGAAAAACAAAAACCAAAATAATGTTAGATTTCTGTCCAGGGCCCTATTAAATTTAGCCTCCTTGGCTTTAGTTCATTATTCCAGCCCAGGAAGAGCTTCTGGCTTTTTGACTCTGTCGTCCAGCACGTCAGCTTTCTCTCCCCACTCTACACATTTTCCAAGCAGTCTGCATCTCAACCTGCATGGTTGATAAACAAGACAGATGCGAGCGCAAATTGGCTTCCTTCAAGAAGACGGCTAATTGTCTAACTGAGCCCAAGCTTAGAAGCCGAGTGGACCCGGGCAGGCCGAGTGGTACCCAGCAGGCTGTGGGATGTCAGCCACAGTCCCTCTTCCAGACCGCGCGGCTTCCCGTGGATGGTGCTGCTGTGCGGGCCGCACAGAGTCAATGGGATGCTTTTGCCACTATACCCCGAGCTGGCTTGTCCCGGGCAGGACGGCTCCCGCGTTTCTTTCTGGCCTGTGGTCCTTCCAGAGCCTGACATGAAAATCACCGCCTTGGGGAGCCCCCACAGCAGGGAGCTGTGGCCACCCTGTCCTCTCAGCCTCCCTCCCCATCGCCCACTTCCCACAACCCACTTAGAGGGGCCAGAGCCCAGGACGGCACCCCAGGCAGGGGTCAGGAGCAGTGGAGAATATCTAACCCCCAGCCAGAAAAGCACAGCTTCTGCTCGCGGGCCTCCAGCTTGGCTTCTTGGAAATCTGTGTCATCATCTTTTTTCTGGGATTGTCAGATCTGCTTTGAGATCTTTTAAAACCTAACTCCCACAGAGCATTTAAAGTGCTTCTGCCTTCTATTTTCCCAGGCATTTAAGGTGGTCTCCACCTCCCAACCCTGGGCACCAGGAGTGGCCAGGGGGCTGGTCCCCAGGGGAGGGGACACAGGCTGGTGCATCCAGGGGAGGAGAGAGGATGCAGGGGTTGATGTTCAGGGCTGCAGGTGCAGAGGGCTGGAGTAGGGGAGAGGAGGTGCCAATGGAGAAGAGGCAGGGGACCTAGTTGCGGTGGAGGGGAATGGATGGTAAGACAGTGCAGATGGGGTGTCGCATGGTTCTTCTTATGTGCTTCCTCCACCCTCAGCCTCACCAGGCGGAACAGTGCGCGCTGAGACAGGGTGGGGCAGCCCCTGAAAGGGAGTGTCGCTGTGCTCCGCATCAGCAGAGAATTTTCCTGTTCTTCTTTGTCCCAACTGACCAACTGCCAAGAGGTACTGGAGAAAGGAAGCAGAGGTGAAGGAATCAGAAAGGGAACCACCGTTTGCTGGGTTCATTCACGCTCATTCATTCATTCAACAGCATTCACTCAGCACCAATTATGTGCCGGGCATTGACATACAACTTACATATCTGAGGGGCTTAGGGCCCAGAAGATGGGGATGGAGTAACAGGGCAGTGGCACAGGGAGGGGCTCCCTTGTGCTTCCTACCCCTCTGCCATCCATCTATGCAGCTGCCAAGGACCTGGCACAGGCCGGCAAGAGTGACCTGGGAGCGGGGTGAGGAGAGGAGAGTAAGGTCTGTGGTTGCAGAGGGGTGCGGGGATGGGCAGAGGGAGAAAAGTCTTGTAGTCAAAGAGGAAGAAAAGGACAAGTCTGACTGGAGTGAACAAAGAGATAGATGCATGATGCCAGCTGGGAGTCGGGTACCACCTGTGATCCATCCAAAGCAATTTTCACATTCTCCCACCTTGTTTATCATGGAGTTAATTTATAGTCATTTAAGCACTTAATATTTTCCTCAAGGAGATTCCTCTTCTCTCTCAATATCCACAGTCTAACCATCATTCTCCAGCATATGCACACAGAGTGTGTGCACCGTACATCCAGAAAATCTGCAGTTTTGATTACTATTCTGACGACACAAATGACAGTGCAATCCTTGCCTCTGCCTACGAAATTGACTGACGTCTGATTGGAAGTATCATCGGCAGGAAAAAGATAAAAATCGCAACTTGGAAATGATCACTGGTTGGGAAAATAATCAGTTTTCCCCAGAATTCTGCAGAAGGCTTTTTTGAATGCTAAGGGCTCAGAGAGCTATTTGGCCTGATCAAAGGAGGAGGACTGGGCAGGGGAGGAGGAGGGAGAATCTTCTGGATAGTCACATATTGAGTTTAATGCATACCTATACATGCATCGCCTCTTTTGGAGTCTGAATTTAATAAGATATCCTGAATAATAAGACTATGCTCAACATAATTTAATCTTCCTTTGATGATTTAGAGGCACGTTTAGGATCTTAACGGGGCTGTAAACATCATCACAGAGCATGGCAGTTATCACTGTACCACAGATGCAGGAAAATGCTGCTCACACGAGAGCTCTGATAACAGAATTTACAGACAAGAGGCTGTGGCGAGATCCCTACTTAACTCTCAGTTTAAACCAGGTCACAAATCAGAAATACCTCCTTAATTCATCCATTCTCAGCCTCCAGTTATGGTCCAATTGTTAAACATCCCAAAATTGCAGCGAAATAAATAAATGTGAATATCCCTTTGGAATTCACTGGTGTGAGATTTGGATAAGTAAGTCACTAAAATACAAAGAGACTGAGGACCTAGTTGTTAAGTCTTGCAGGTCTTAAAGCACCTGACATTCAACCCCCGATTTTATTTTAAGATAAGCCTGGCCAGACTACATTAGGGACTAGTTATCTAATCTTTAATCACGCATATTTCTAAATTACGAATGCAAATACTGCTTCTGTGTCCTGGATATTTATGATATTTGCTGAAGTTATCATTAGGGATGAGATGCAAATAGTTTAAGAGAGTTCCTTTAAACTCTCATCTCTTCATTGATTTTATCCTGGTCCCCAAATGCTGCTAGGCTGAACCTTTCTACGCCTGGCTTTAATCCGAAGACCGAAAGGCAGAACAACGTGATGGAAAGCTTGGTGATTCCACATAAGATCTCATTCACATCCTGACTGACTGGCTGTGTGAACTCGGTCCCAGAGCTGCAACTCGCCACGACCTTGAGTTACTTAACCCATCTGGACTGGTTCCCTCCTCTGTAAAAGAGATATAGCACTGTTGCCTTCTACTTGATGATTTAATGCAGTGCCAATAGCATAGATGTGCGTACTTGGGCTGATAGTAAATACTTAACAAACATCATCAGTGTCTTTAATTCTGGCCAACTCGGCTGGCCTTAGGGTGAAGCTCTGTAAGCTTCTGACACACAACCAGCGCTGTTTTCATGTGAGTTGCCAGGAAAGGAGGACTGTATGAGTATCTGAAAAATAAATGAGTAAGAGGTTCTCCTTCCTTGCTCCAATTTCTTTCCTCATCTTTTCAGTTTGGGAGGCTAAAGGGAACAGCTTAGCCAAGGCAATGTCTGAAAGATGAGACCAAGAAAGCACTTTGAATTTTTGCTTTTCACAAATCAGGAGTAGCTGAAACATCACTCACTCTTTAGGATGTCTACCCAGCATTCTCTGCAGATTTTACATCATCTCTAGCATGACTTGAAAAGCTGCTCCAAATTTCCCTGGATCCTGACAATTTAATGTTCAAATAGGAATTCAAACCCATGGCTTCCATCTGTGTGTGTGTGTACGTGTACGTTCATTTTTTAAAAATATGAAGAGAGTAGCAGAGAAAAGGGGGAATATACAGGAACAGTCCTTGTGTAAAAGGCCCAGAAACTGCTTATAGCTACCATAATCCTTTGCTGTGACACTAAGCAGAAGTTTACAGGAACGTTCTGCCCTTGAGAGCACACAGGATGGCCCTGCTGTGTTTCCCGGGTTAACTCACTAGCTTTATGCAAAGCCTCCCTTTTGCTCTCCAACAATTCCTTCTGTTCACTCCCTCACCTTCTTCTTCTGCCCCTAGTCTAGTGAAATAAGCCAAATTTTCAGATTTATCACTCTCAGGTCTGTGACTCTAATCAACAATACACACATTCATTTGTGCGATAAACATTCACTAGGCACCTACTATGTGCAGGGCACTGGGGACACAAGATGAAAAAGGAAATAGTTTTGCTTTCCTTTTTCAGAAACATATAGTCTATTGGGAAGACAGATAAGAAGATGCACCATTTCAACGTGAAATGACAGACGTATGTAAGACCTTGTTGCTTAAAGTATGATCGCTGGACCAACAGCACAGGCATCACGTGGGAGCTTGTAAAACTGCAGAATCCTGAGTCCCTCTTCAATTTTATTCAATCTAAAATCTGCATTTTAACAAGATGCTCAGGAGACATGCAAGCTTATTTAAAGTCTGAGAAGCACTGGTATAAGATGCGGCCTCTTTCAGGGAGGGAAGAAGGAAATAAGTGACTACTTTGGAGCAAATGTTGAGAGAGGAAGTTGTATGCTCCCTCCAAAGCCAAAGACAACTGCTTAAATCTGGCCAATTTGAGGAGTAGCAACAAAGACATCTGAATTCTGACTCTGCACCTCACTCCTGATCCATGAGGGCAAAACCTCC